CACCATCACAGATGCCGGTCAGTCACTCTCTTTGGTTGATTGAACGAGCGATGTGTCCAGTAGTGATATAGTAAATGTTATATCCAATATCAGTTGGTCTATTTTTGCCGTTTTAATGTTCCATTTGAAATTGGTACAAGACGGCAAGAATGTATGTGTTGATAGACTAACAATTAAAAAAAATAGCACAAACTAAACTTGCTCTTAGTTATGCCATTCATATTTTATCAATGCATGACAGTAAGTCTGTGTAAAATTGTTAATTTTTGAAATCTGTTCAGCTGATTATTCTGTTTCTCTGACTCTGTGTGTGTTGTGTTTAGATATGATTGTGTGCGGGCCGCTCTGTCCACCTTCCTCTCCTCCTCTATGTATGTCTGAGCCGCCATCCTCATCTCCTCGTCCCAACAAGACGTATGTCTTCCAGAGAGAACCTCCAGAGGGCTGCGAGAGAGTACGTGTGTCCGAAGAGGCCATGTAAGTTCAGCAAAAACATGAACTAGGCATATCAATTGAACACATTAATATAGTGTTATTAATAGTGTTGGTGATAATCAATATTCCTGTCTGCCACAATAATGTAAATGACATTATCTTGAATTAAGGGCAGAAATTGATAATCTGGGACGGGTATGGGGTTGAACGACTTTAGATTTTTTTTAATGTCAACATTTATGTAATGAAAGTCGTTCATTGATTCACAGCTATGGCATGTGACACAGCGCTCCTACATAACAGCTTATTTTTGCTAGTTTGTTTGTCTTTGGGTCATTATATTTCTCACAGATTTCTCTTTCTAAATCAGGTATAGATAAAGTAACAAAGTAACAACATTACATTTATTTGGATGTTTTAGTGTGAGAGAGAGAGCGATTGCATGTGAATTTATTTTATTGATAAATCACAGAAGAGTTTACGGTACATTTGTGCGCTACTGAATGATTGTGTGTGCATAATCTTCACATGATATTCACGCTACTGTCTGTGTGTGTGCATAATAGAGCAGTTTAGAACAACGATTAACTTACCTGTATAATAAGCTGTGTAAAACGTGCATTCACGTGATTGATTTTGAGAATCCAGATGGTATAATCAAACATATCTTATGGAGGGCTTTCTGGGTATGCATTTATTTTTATATTTTTAATATTTTTATTGGCCCTCTATAGGCCATGAATGATCAGAGACTAGTCTGTTCAACCCTTAATATGGGTAGAATATTAAATGAACATTTATTTAATCAGGGTGCTTAAAGGCTTTAACTCAGTTATATCAAATTTAAAGCCATAAGAATTCATAAATACCTTAAACTGTAAAAGAAAAGTAATGATTTCGAGAGGGGGACTGAAAAATTTGGGGACTGAAAACTTGAATCACGATATGGTTTAATAATCTTTTAAAATACGTTACTGTTGCGCACTCTACTGGCTCGTGTTTTCAGAGCAGTACACAATCAGTAAATATCGTGAGTTTATGACAAGCGATTGCTTATTGATCTACTGTTGATGAGTTAACATTGTTTACCTTCTTTTATATCATACGGGCAAATTCGGGGCATTTCTGAAGCAGCTGCATAGGGTTTACCCAAGCGGCAACATTCTAATCTGAAAAATGAAGCCTACCCGGAAGTGCGAAAAACTGCAATACATCTAAAATCCGCTAGGGGCAGGTCCCAAAAAGGAACAAATTTCCATAGACCCCATGTTAAAATGTCAGTTTTCACAGTATAAATTCATGCTTTTACAGGTTGGTCCCATGGACTTTTATTGTATTTTTGGATAGGTCCCGAGTGCCTGACAACTGTGAGGGGGGTGATTTTTTTTTTTCTAACTCGTTAGATCGTATTTAGATATAAAATGTATGACAAATAAGGCCGGTTAACTTTGATTGACAGCTGATAACGGGCTGCGCCGAGTGGAATTTGACATCTCGGCCATGATCTGACACATACCACCTCTGTATCCTTTCTGAACATTTGTATTTTCCAATATGGCGCCGCCCATACCCCCCATAAACAGCTTCAAAACTGTTCTTCAGAAAGTCTATGGGTGATATCACAGATGCTTTGTCCACATTTTTTACAGTCTGTATGGGTTTACCCCTATATTTCTGCTGTTCCATAAGCTCCACCTACTGTCAGAGAGTGAAACTCCAATACCATTCAGCCTGGGGATCGAAAAGAAGCTAATGTGCTGATTCCAAAAATTTAAACAATTAGGATAGGATTTATATTTTAATCATTTAAAATATAATTATTTCTACTTTGCATTTAAAAAAAACATTTTAAAGGCTGAAATGTGAGGTCTATCATTTTATAAAAATTTTTGTTTTCATCAAAACTTGTATTATTACCTGTTACTGTAGTTGTTTAAATCATGTTATTGTTTGGATGTTACTATAGATATGACTCTACCCAGTTCATCGGTATTGTTTACTTTTGCAGTTAAAAAAAAGCCTTAAATTGGATTTTAAAAACCCTGTTAATCAATCTGCTTATCATGCAGTTAATTTCATTAAACCAATCATTTGATCAATCGATCCTAATATTAACCATTTTCAAAACGTCGATTCTTTTCAGCCTTGCCTGTCATGGAAATGCGCCTCTTCAGCCTTCCTGTCCTGACCCAAACAAGGTGAATTTCACGCCTCACGGTGGCTCCGCCTTCTGCCCTGTCAGTCTCCTCAAGCCCCTCCTCCCTTCAATGGACCTCTTATTCCGTGGCCTGTCTGTTTCCCCCGTCACTGGCTGTTTGGCTCAAAGTGCCGCCCCCTGCCAGACACCGGGACATGGTGTGGGTGGTTATTTGAGTGGCGGCGCCCTCCCAGACCCTACCGCCACCTCTCTGTGAATGGGGGACATGCACAGCAAAAAAGAAAGAAAAACAAAAGAATGGTGTGCCTTTGTTCCTATCATCAGAGACTTGGACATTAAAGCGTTTCAGAGAGAAGTAGCTTTTCAAGAAACAGCTCGTGCCATCCACCCAGTAAATGATTTGTTTTTGATCGGCACAGAGATTTAAAAAAATCATGATGCAAGAATGAAATGGACAACTTTTCGTCCACTATAGTGGACTTTCTCCAATGTGATTTGCGTCCTTTTGACCTGAGGACACACTCCACTTGGCACTTGTGATCATTTTGTTTCACGTTATAGCAATTACCTTTTGGTATGTTTCCTCTAATTTCTATAAAACTATATTGATGACTATTCATCAAATGTGTAAGAATATATTTTTAGCTCTGTCAGAACAGAAAATGGTCATTTTGAACATTCATTATAATATTTTGTCTTTTGGACAGACTATCAAACATGTGTTTCACTCCATGATGATTTTACAGAGCTGTGGATGAGTTTCTTAATTCAGCATTTACAGATAAAACGAAAGAGACACTAAGAGAGTCTCTCATCAGCTGTTCATTGTAGTGGCATTTCATCTTGACAACTGATGTTTCAGGTATTTTGAAGGCTGGGTTTTTTTTTTTTAAATATGCTCTAGCATGTCTATTTAGTAGTTAAGAATGTATGCATTTAGACATCATTAAGATGAGCTCTGATATGTAGGCGTTCAATGAATGTCAACAAATCTTCAGAGAGAGTGAAAGGGTAAAATCTTAAGAGATAAGAGAAAATCTTACAAAGCTTATCAAGAAAATATCCTGGTCATACGTTACTACCTCCAATCAAAAGAAATTATTTTTAGTCTTTTTTTTTTTCATATTTTTTGTTACTGTATTAAAGTAAAATTAAAAAAATAAATAAATAACTATACTTATAAAATAGGTCCTAAAATATACTTCATTATTTTTCTATTTTTTTTTTTTTTTTTGGATTGAAATATGATGGGGATATTTTCTTTATGGATTCTGAGATTCACAGAACCTTTGTAACTGTTTACAGTTCTAATTTAATGTGGGAAAGAAGGCAGAGGCCATTATTCTGTTGTTTATTCAGAGGTCTTCATGAATAGTGGGCCGTTCACACATAAATTCAGACAATAACACAGACAGGACCCCATTAAGGGTTTATTTTGCTACACACTTGATTAGTGCGCTGTATGTTTTACTGAATTTCACTTCAGACTTGACTACTATTCTTACAACAGTGGTCGTATTGTTCAGTTCATTGAGCACCAAGCTGGTTATGCAAACACTTTACACAGGACACAAGCAAATTTGCTGCATTCAGGTTCAATATGTGCACATCATAAGGAACGAAACTTCCAGCAAATTATTGTTTGCTGACACTGCACTGTTATTATCCCATTTTTTTTAAACATGGATTGTGTCTCAGTCTTGGCATCATCCATTCAGTTTTTTAAGGTCTCGCTCGTTACCTTGTTCTTTAAGGGTGCTGTTTTGATAATATTGTTCTCAGATTGTTACTGTTATTGTTATGTTGAGTACAGTACAACAAATATTTTTGTCGCATATATTGTACATTTTATGTTACTCAGTTTTGGTTGCCATAAATAAGAAACAAACTAAAAGAAACTAGTGTGTTTTCTGGTTTGTATAAAATCTTTATGTATTCTTGAGCGTATATATATATATATTACATTTTAATATACAATTATATATTTGCGTTAAAATGCAATACCAGTTTAACCTAGAATAAAATTGAAGTACACATACACGTAATGCTTGTAGAAGAATTCTACGCCCCGCCCTCTTAAAGATTCCAGCACTGTGATTCGCTGCTTGTCGTCATCTTTTGCTTATTTGGACCAATTGAAGTAATACACATACCACTACGTAAAATCCTAACTGCTTATTCTCAAGAAAGCCCCCACAGATTATTTTATAGGGATTTGAATATAATGCCTACATTAAAGTAGCAGGGAAATATTTGTACAATAATGAATAAAAACATAGATTTAGAGGAAAACCCCATGATGTGAGGGATGTCACCGGGGTAAGGCAAATAACGACATGCACTTGGTTTAAAACGGTATTTTAATTCTTAATAATTTCAGGCATATCAGCAGATTGCACGAATTTCTTCGGGCCCTTCTACTCTAGAGTCATTTGACGCGTCAAATGAAAACATTTATTAGAGACTGCCCAAGCAGTAAATATCACTACATGTCAAAAACAGAGCATTAACTCAACACCTCGAGTACAACATTAGTTAAGCTTTTGGGGCATTATCTAGAGAAAAAAAGCCGCATTTTTAACCGCATTAACTCATTTTCATCATGCGGTTGTTTGGACACAGCTAGCGCGCGCTACAATAACATTACGGATCTGTAAATAAACTGAAACCTAAATAAACTGAGCAACACGACTGGTAGCGTAATATCGTTGTTATATTAAGAGGATTTAAGACTGTAACGTTAGATGTTTCATCGGAAGAAGGAGAGCATCATCATCAGTACAGAGAAGAGGGGGATCTAGAGTCGAGCTACCGATCACCGGTAGAGTGGATCGGGACGCAGTAGCACGGGGTACGGGGAGCGGAGCGGTTTCCGTGTCCATACCGAGAGTGCTGGACGATAACATGGCCGCCGTGAAGGCGACAAGCAAACCGTCTATCTGGCAGAATGAACGGCTCCGGTTCATCGTCTGCTTCTGCGGGGTGTTCGTGTGCTACTTTTACTATGGAATACTTCAGGAGACAATGTGAGTATGAAACCGCATTGCATTTGAAGAGCATACTGACACATAGGGTATAACACCGTTTAATCATCATTAGTTGCTGTTATTGCACTGCTGTCTCTGTCCATGTGGTTGCAAGAACAAGTAGAGACTAGAGAGTGGAAATTACCCTTCATCTATTTCACCTTGCTTGTTGACACTGCATTCTCTAGTATATTATAAAGCAGACTATGGTAAAGCCTGTTAACTGTTGTCAGCCTCTTTCAGAGAAAGAGCTCTGATTTATCGCAGACAGTTGTTTTATTGTTCTCAAAAAAACAAGCTTGTTGTGGCAAGCTCTGTTAACATGGCTTTTTTTTTTTTTACTTTTAACAACCTTTTTGACTCCAATGCTCACCTTGAATGCTCCTCTAATGTAAGCTGATGGCCTTCTGGTGCATCTGTTGTAATAAGTATGATGTCAGTTTAATGTTGTACATCTTTTCAGCATTTTTATTAATAAGTAACTCATTTTATGTTCCGGGCTTATTAATTAATATTATTCAGTACTTACTTGCATATATAATTACACTGTAACATGTACATCTTAAATTTAAACGTACCCACCAATAGTTTCCACACAGATCTAAAATTACACGGTAGTGTGTAATAAGTATTGCAGTGGTGTCTCTTCAGTTAGTACTGTGAAAAACTTGACTATTTGAAAAGTTACAAGCAACTAAGAATAAGTACTTTTACATAATGGTTAGTAAAACTGAAATGCGTACCAGCAATAATTGGAATATGTATTAGTTTGAATCACGGATCTTGCAGCCAAAACAATGTCAGCAAACTCAAATGTGCAAAAAACAGATCGATATGGTTTCTGATTGGCTAAAACGGTGCAGGCCACCTCCTTTCTCTAAATTGACAATCGTAAGATGTCAAACTGTGAGATCATTATAGATCATTAATTATGATTAACCGGGGGTAACACCCCTACTCTTTTCCGAAGGACATCCTGGGATTTTTAATGCCCACAGAGAGTTAGGACCTCTGTTTAACGTCTCATCCGAAGGACGGTGCTCTTTGACAGTATATTGTCACTGTCATGTTACTGGGGCGTTAGGATCCACACAGACCACAGGGTGAGCGCCCCCTGCTAGCCTCACTAACACCCCTTCCAGCAGCAACCTGGTTTTCTCAGGAGGTCTCCCATCCAGGTACTAACCAGGCTCAGCCCTGCTTAGTTTCAGTGGGTGACCAGTCTTGGGCTACAGGGTGATATGGCTGCTGGCAGTTGACCTCTCAATGTCATGAAGACTTTTTTTTATCAAGCAGTAAAATGAGTCGCTGTGGTAAACAACAGTTTCTTCCCCAGCCACTGTTGGTTATTTATACCACAAATGAAATGATCATTAAGTATCCTTGTTCCAAACAGCTGTTCCCTTCAATCCCACAATACCTCTGTCTTCTTTTTCGTCCAGCACGCGAGGAGACTACACTCACTCAGGGAAGACGGAGAAGTTTCGTTACGCCACCACCCTAGTCTTCATCCAGTGCATCATCAACGCTGCTTTCGCCAGACTCTGTGAGTCAAACCTTTGCATGTTCTGGTAGTGTTTTGGAGATCATGTCTGACAGTGCTTTAGGTTATAAATAGGTTGTCACATTATGGCACCACTTGTATGTGTTGCTGCATGTGTTTGAATTCCACTTGCAAGTAATTCTGCATTCTCTCTATGTTATGTTTGTAGTAATTCAGGCTTTTGAGAGCTCAAAGCAGGACCACACAAGAAGCTGGCTCTATGGCTTGTGTTCTCTATCGTACCTGGGCGCCATGGTGTCCAGTAACTCTGCCCTGCAGTATGTCAACTACCCCACACAGGTCTGCAGCTCTTTACTCTTGTATCGCTTTTTCTCTCCCTCACAACAACCTGCTCATGAGTCTTTCTTCCTTCTAGGTGTTGGGAAAATCCTGTAAACCAATTCCAGGTAAGAGACTTCAGTGTCCAAATACTTTTTGGGCTAAGGTAGCTGTCATTTTCATCTCATCTGGATGTATTAACCATATTTAACCAGGATAGTCTCTCTGAGAATAAAAATCTTTTTTTTTTCTGGCCAAGAATGGACTGCAGTTAAAGTCCCAAAATTACAAATCACCAATAAATATTAAATTACAACACTTACAAACAGTTGCACATCATTGAGTCTTCTTCCAGTGACCGAATAATAGTTTTGAAATATTCCGTAGGCACTAGAGTTTGTAATTTCAATTTCGTTTGGTGTCGATTCCATTCAAATGAAGCTGCAGACACGAAAGCCCTTTTTCCCAATTCAGTTTCTTTTATTTCTGCTTGCCTCACATGTTCAAAAAAGCATATGAAGAGTTCAGATGCAAAAGCCTCTAAGTGCCATTTGAAATTTTTTTTTCTAGAATTATCATTTTTATCAAGCTTGTATATTTAAGTTCAGTGATTTCACTTAAATGGCAATGATAATTACCTATTAATTGTTATTTAAGTGAAATTGCTGAACTTAAATATACAAGTTTGATAAAAATCATCATTAAAGAAGAAATTTTCAAATGGCATTTAGAGGCTTTTGCATCTGAACTCTTCATATATAATATTTATGTTTGTTCTCTTTGTTTCATGCACATTTTCTTAGCCACACAATAGAAACCTCTGTGGATTGTTGGCATTGGTCACATCTACTCATTTTGCTTGTGTCTCTTTGGTTCCACAGTGATGATTCTGGGTGTCACAATCCTGAGGAAGAAATATCCCACGGCGAAGTATCTGTGTGTGTTTCTAATCGTCGCCGGGGTCGCCCTCTTCCTCTACAAACCCAACAAAGGCTCCAGCGCATCAGATGATCACACATTTGGCTTTGGAGAAATGCTGCTGGTCGGGCTCTGTTTTTAATCTGTTCTGTATAACATTTCTAGTCCTCTGTGTGAAGATGATCTGAGGTGTGTTTCTTTGGTTGTAGCTGCTCTCTCTGACTCTGGATGGGCTGACAGGTGTATCTCAGGACCACATGAGGGCGCGCTTCCAGACGGGAGCCAATCACATGATGCTGAATGTTAATATGTGGTCCACACTGATCCTCGGAGTAGGTGAGTTGTTAAATAAAGGGTCCTGATTTATTATAGGAACATTGATACATGGTTAGTGAAGGTACTAGTTATTAAAGATAAAAAAAAACCAATAGAATAAATATTTGTTGATTGGATTTATAATATTTATAAGAAGATTTATGTTAAGCCCCTGGGGTAAAAGAGATTCTAAATACTTTTGATTTTGATCTTGCATATAAGTGTTACATCATTTGATCCTCTTAAGTGTCTATGTTTTGTGTATACACAATAAAAACAAAGTGTTGTGCTTTTCGCTAAATAAAGACAAATAAACATGATGTGCGTTCTGCCATCTCTCTCAATATGAAGTCCATTCTGAAACGCGTCTGAAAGTGAACTGTGACTCAGCGAATATTTGTCACACATGCATGAGAAATATGTCTTTATATAGCTTGAATTCTCTTTTTTTAAATGAAATAATTTATATATAAAAAAAACAAATATTCTCAGTTTATGTAATCTGTATGAAAAAAGAGATGTCAGTCGTTCTCATTTAAGCTCATTAAGTGCTAATGAGACCACGCCCACGGAGAGCGTGCGCTATTATTATCTGAGGCAAGATTCAAACCGGTCAACGCCCACATCAGCTGGATAAAACACATCAGGTTTAATCAGACTCATGTACTTTACGAATCTGAGGAATAATACTATCGTAATGATAATCCTGGAAAAATTACCTCGGAAGTGTTTAGTTTCGTTTCAAGGAGCAACGGAACCAGCTGAGGTGGGATAGTAAGTTATTTATTCTTAAGTGCTTTTTTCTAATCGTGATATGTAGTGTATGTAAACCGCAAAAAGACTTTAAATATGAATCGTGTTTCTGTGTGAGAATGAATGAGAATGAGACCCCTCTCAGTTTGATCTAATGCAGTCCATGAATTATTTTTATCATTATTATTATTATTTTTTTAAAGAATTAAAAATGAGAATAAATGAACTGCACAGATGCGTGCTGTTGTTTACTACAGAACAGCTTGCATCTGTGCCGTATAAGCAACGTTACAGACGAAATATTAATGTTTAGATGCTGCTCATTTGTTAATAAATATATTGTATTGGGATGTTTTGTCAAAAAATAAAGTATATTGAAGTATCTACTACGATGTTTTTATAGTGTTTGTTCCAATATTCAAACTAATGAATCCTTAACTTTGAAATGCGTATGAAATGTATACTTTTTACAAAGAAAGATTACACTTGAAATATTGTTAAAATTGTAATTAGGGCCCAAGCCCTGAAAGGGCGAAGGCCCTATTGTTTTCCTTAGGATTATTATTAGGGCCCAAGCCCTGAAAGGGCGAAGGCCCTATTGTTTTCCTTAGGATTATTATTATTATTATTATTATTATTATTTATACGACTATTCGGGCACTTTTGGGGCCCTTAACATGCTCAAAAACTCTTGAAACTTAGCACACGGGTCAGAATCCGCGGCCATCAGGGCCGGGCTGAAGATGGTACCCGGGCGTGGCAGGGGGGCTAGACAGCGCCCCCTGGAACGGGGTCCGAAAACTTGGTCCATAAATCAAACACGCTTGCATGTAATAATATGAAACTCGGTGCACATATAGATCTCATCGTTCATATATACCTCATACTATTACTTTTTACCCCAGCCCAACAGGAAGTCGGTTATTTAGGGTTGTTCATAAAACACTCGCAATGGAATTTGAAGTACTACTCCTAGAGAATTCAAACACACGGCACGAAACTCGGTCAGCATAAAGTCAAGGCATTGACGATGAAAGTTTGCGAGGGGATTTTTGATATCTCGAACGGTTTGGCCGTGGCGAGGAAACGAAATAATGGCGAGAAACGTGAAACAGGAAGTGTGTTATAACTTCAGCATACATTAACTGATCTTGATGAAACTTCAGCAGTATGTTCGCTGTAAGAGGACGATCACATGGATGTGACTATTGTGAGTCAAAGTTATAGCGCCACCAACTGGTAGCAGGAAGTGTGTCACTTTCAAAATGCTTTGAACTCACCCTTTTATTTTTACCCGATGTGCTTCAAACTTAATCTGTATAATGTAAATACATAGCAGATGAAGACCTGTGAATGGATTCTTGATATCTTTGATACTGTTGCCGTGGCAATGCATCAAACTTTAAAATTCTTTTTTTTTTATGATTTTGAGACTCTTAGCGGCTTTTGGGGCCCTTAACGGGTTTGAAAACTCTTGAAACTTTGCACACAGGTCAGATCCCACAGCCATCAGAGCCGGGCTGAAGATGGTACCTGGGTGTGGCAGGGGGGCTAGACAGCGCCCCCTGGAACGGGGTCCGAACACTTGGTCCATAAATCAAACACGCTTGCATGTAATAATATGAAACTCGGTACACATGTTGATCTCATCGTTTCATCTATACCTCACGCTCTTACTTTTTACCCCAGCCAAACAGGAAGTCGGCTATTGAGGTTTGTTTGTAAAACGCTCGCAATGGAATGTGCAATACTCCTCCTAGAGAATTCAAACACACGGCACGAAACTCGGTCAGCATGAAGTCAAGGCATTGAGGATGAAAGTTTGCGAGGGGATTTTTGATATCTTGAACAGTTTGGCCGTGGCGAGGAAACAAAATTATGGCGAGAAACGTGAAACAGGAAGTGTGTTATAACTTCAGCATACATTAACTGATCTTGATAAAACTTCAGCAGTGTGTTCGCTGTAAGAGGACGATCACATGGATGTGACTATTGTGAGTCAAAGTTATAGCGCCACCAACTGGCAGCAGGAAGTGTGTCACTTTCAAAATGCTTTGAAATCACCCTTTTATTTTTACCCGATTTGCTTCAAACTTCATCTGTATAATGTAAAAATACAGCAGATGTAGACCTGTGGATGGATTCTTGATATCTTTGATACTGTTGCTGTGGCAACAAATCAAACTTTAACATTCTTTTTTGATACTTTTGGGACTCTTAGCATGCTTGAAATTGCTTGAAACAGATAGATACAGATAGCTCGACAGATACATCACATTTATTAGCCAGTAGGCATGTGCAACTTTGGCAAAAGATTAAAGTAATGTCAAAAAAGTAAACAGTAAACACTAAAAGCCTCATATCTTCTAAAAATGTAATTATACATCATTTGTTTCTAAATTAAATTATACAAATATTATAATTAAACCAGTTTTTCCCCTTTTTTCATTTAAGAATTATGTTTACGTTCAAAAACAGCCAGAATGGTTTTAAAATTCAGAAGAAGAAAAAATAATCTGAGTCATACGTAGTGCTATACTGCCCTCTTGTGTTCAATATCAGTTAGGCCTATTGTGTATATTCCCACCGGTTAATCAACGTGTGACTCCGCTGGGACTCGGGAACTTTTAAATCGCTTACTTAAAACCGAAAGTCAAAATACAGATATCCGCACAAGACATTAATGTTGTGGAGTAGAGCAAGCATTTTAAATAAATTCCTATTAAGTAGGATTGAACTAAACAGAATGAACGTTCACTCTGTTCTGCTGGTTCCTCGCTGTTGGCGCGCACAGTTATGAATGCTTGTGCAGCCATGAGTTTTAGTTTAATTTTAAAATTAGCGCAATTTCGGGATTTGTATTATTTGAATTTATTTTTAAAAAACACAATGTTGAGTTTTATTGTAACACTGTTTAATCGCGCCCACGGTTATATTTTGTATATTATATATAATTATAATGTATTATCTGTATAAAATAATACTACAATAAAAAACACATTTGTGACCGACCTGATCCAGCAAAATTAGTCACAGTGACCCAAATTTAAAAATTGAGATTTTGATATTAATGGAAAGAGGACACTGTAAGCTTTCAAATGATACCTTGGTCATACCTTGAATGGTTGTAAAGATATACAGATTTGAATTCTGGTCGTCTGCCCTTTTTTTCCAATTGAAAACCTAAGAAAATCGCTTTTAAAGTTTTTTTGCCCGTTTTTTTTTTTTTTTTTTTTTTTGATATCTTTCAAAATCTATAGCATTTTAAGGGATAAACTATTTATTTTATATAGCTTAATTTGACCAAATAGATTAACATATATAAATGCAATTTAACGAGGCTGAAACTCAACTTATTTTTAATTTTTTTGAAATAAATAATTAAAAAGTCACTTTTACAAAAATGTTCTAAAATCAGAAAGATTAAAGAGGAGTCAGAGAGAAAATCAGTTTTCATACGGATTAGCCCACATAAGCAGAGAGCAGTCTGTTTTCTTTCATTTTGAATGGTTGTGTTTAAAAGTAGACATTTCAATATATATGTCTGTGAGGATACCTTATACGCTGACTTTCGGTTCATGAGACAAGCTTCAGTTCACGTGCCGCGCGTCTCCGCGTCGTGATTAGGCCTAGCCTATTGTCTGCAATTTATTTCTTATTATTAAATCCTAGTAATTGGTTGATGAAACATTGATTTAAATTAAGATAATTATTTTAAAACGAAATTTACTTTAAAGAAAGGCTTTGTGCTTGCATGTTTAAGCTATGTGAAAGTTTTAGTGCTGCTTCCAGAGAACGGTCACGTTCGGATTGTTTTTCCTCAATGCGAACACGGAAAATAAAATAAAGATTTTATGTTCTGGAGAGAGTCAACCCTTCTTCATCCGGTGAGTATTACTTTTGGTTTGTGCAGTGTGGTTCACATAGGCCAATTTATTAAAATATTAATTATCTGGGAATTGGATCTCCTCCATAATGCTGAAATTGCCCAATTTTTAAAAAATTTAGTAATAATTTAAGTTTTGTGGTGTAAGTCTACGTATTTATAATGTTAACTTCAAATAATACTAATAGTAATTTAAAATGTTGTAGCTAGCATTGGGTCTGGACGTGAAGGATAACTTCGGGAGTTGAAGGGACGTGTCGGTGTCGTGATTCTGTCTTCTCACACCGCGACACAGGTTCGTGGATCTGAGTGTCGCGATCGTTACGCCTACATAGGCTATATTCTTCTTGCAGATAAATATACTCACGCAGTTTAGGTTAGAAGCCTCCAGTGAGTTCAACGTTTCAGGGGATACCCGGGAAAATGCTCAGAGGTGACGAGGGGAGTTGAGAAGAGCAATGTTTATTTCAGCGAATTTAAAGCTTTGACAACTTTAATCGTTATTTAAATACCTTTACTCAATTATCTCGACTACGAACCCTGTGAGATTATTTTTGAATGTCTGTTCTTTGAAATTAGCAAAAATATATATATATAATATATTTTTTTTTTTTGTTATTTCATGGTTTTTCCACATAATCGGCCATATCTTAAAATGGAAGGTTGCAACTTCCGACTCATTTCGCCAGAGCGGTTCACATTTGATTTTTATTTTTTAAACAATGTATGTGTAACCTAAAAAATAAACAGATTATTGATTTGATAAATGGTATATTTAAATCTGCATATTGTAGCCTAATATCTGCAGGGCAGCCTAGTCTAAAAATGTATGCTTTCATTTTTCATTAGTAAATTTGATCAATAATTCAATAATTTAGAATAATAAGACACTATAGGGCTTTTACCCTAGGTAAGGCTGATCAAATTAAATCGGTTACACAATAATGTTACGAGATTGGTTTAACAGAGAGTCAATTAAAAATCGCTGTAAAGGAACGATACTTTTAAACATAACCCTAAATCACCATAAGGTGTCGCCAG